TTATGCAGGGGGTCGGACTCGATGATCTATTGAGGTCCCTTCCAACCCTAACATCTATGAATCTATAAATCTATGAATCCTGGAGACCACTCAAAATATAACTAAACTTATCTGTTTATAAACTATTTTAACAAATATTCCTTGCTTGAGCCTTGCTGCAGATATAGGTAACAATTCAGAGAATTAAAGTGGTGGGAATACCTTGAGATTGGTGTAAAGGTGCTTACACTGATACAACTTACTCCTGTAATGGAAACAGAATAGGTCACAGGGGGATAAAATGCATGTAGATCTGCATTATCCTGTCCACACTTGGGGGGAGGGGGGCTGAGCTGGTTTGTTTTTCATTGATGAAGTAAGTTTCAGACCAGAAAAGCTTCTACTATATGTATATTGATCTAATATATAAAGCTCATACTATATAAAACTTGTACTATATAGATCTAATATACACATGCACCCACATATCTATAGATATCTATATATCTATATACACACACACACATACATGCATACATATACGTATACCGACATATATCCATGGACACAAACACACATCTAATGTGTATATATATATTTATATGTATCCAATATAACATGCACCCACCCACATAACCTTTTATATATATATCTCCCAATGTTTGTATGTATGTAATATACACACATACATCAAATATATCTATATCTATATATGTACACCAAATGTGTGTGCATGTGTGTGGGTGTATATTGATATACACCCACACACCTCTAACTTATACATATGCACCCGCAAATCATATAGATAGATAGATCGATCTATATAGAAACACACACGTCTGATATACCCACCCATCTAATATGTGTATCTTCTCTTTATAGACCTGATGTACACACATTTGTACACACACATATCTAATATCTATACACATCTAATCTGTATAGACATACATGATCCATATCAGTTGTGTATACATACGTATATACATATATATACACACATCTAGTGTATATATATATACATATGCACACATACCCCCACACATCTACCCATATACATTACATTTCTGTACATCTAAATATGTCTATTACATATACATATACACACAACCAAACATGTAATACACACATACCCACCCTAACATATCTAGATGT